AGAGGCATCGAGGTCTGTTCGCAATAAATATATATAAATATAAATGTATATATATATATATATATACGTACATACGATTTTACAACACGTCATCAGGTGTCCCATGCTATGTTACGTTCCTTAGGAGGGAGAGCGCTGTCATTTTCTGCAAGGATCACCGCCGGTCCTCCATGTCATCCGGGTCTGCTGCCTGCAAAGGCCGCCGCATCTTTCCAAGGCAAACTCTTACTAACCATCTGGCAGGTGTGGATGAAAAATGCACTGCCCAGATTTTCCGAGAGCCCATACCTACAGTTTCCGATAGGTCTTTCGACATCGTGTGCAGGAACAGTCCTCACCTCGCAAGAACGAACCACAGACCCAGTTTTTGCACAACACCGCTCAGAGCAGGACAGGGCGCATGGCGCTTCGTGGCCTTTGACACTGTGAGGTTTGTCGCTTGTGCTATCGGCAGGTTGGCAAGGTCTCTTCAGGATTGAAAGCTTGAGGGTGCAGCCCAGAAGACATATGCTATAGAAAAGCCACCAACAAGGATTCCGCGAGCAAAGCATCGAGACTCTTTGGTCCGGAATCCCCGGCGCCGAAGACCAGCAACCTATGCATTCCTCGTAGCCTAGGGTGCTGAACTTCTGCACAGCGGCATAGAACAGCTGGCAGACACCACTGAGCTCAGACACCCCAGTACAAAAAAGGTATGAGCACATGCTGTGCACTGAGCTCTTGGCCTTGGGGCACCGGCCACAGGCCTCGCCCGAGCTGCGATGGATGACCGGATGCAAAAATGCACAGGATGAACGCTACTGTAGTTGTGAAGGTTCCGATACTCTGATAGGAAAATCAGATGACAACAAGCGTCATTACGATGTGGGCGAGGAGTACAGTCAACGTTAGGAGCTGCAGCCAGCTCCTACGACGATGATGTCCCTACTTATACTCTTGTCCTTCTACCATCACTGATTCTTCTTCTTCTTCTTACTACTACTACTACTACTACTACTACTGCTGCTGCTGCTGCTGCTTCTATTCCTGCTACTCTCACTCCTACTCCTGCTGCTGCCGCTGCCACTACTGGTACACCTACGACGTCTACGACAACGACGAGTGCCACTGCCACTAACCTCAGGCTCCATCTCCTCCAAATCGGTAGAGCTGCCACTTGCAAGCTCCGTATGCAGGGACTGAGCCCGCTTTAGGAGTGTTGCAAACGAAACCAACGCCAAAATGAGCACGGGACAATAGCCGGAGCAGATTTCCAACCATGAACAATCCAAAATTTGCGGCGGCACTGTGGAGAGTGCGACTCATCAAGCGAGAGTACTCTTGCAGCAAAGGATACAGTGCTCATTGCTATATGCGAATCCTCGTGCTCCATAGCACTACCATCACCACAAACAGCACCAGCGTATCATGATCTTGAACATCTTCATCATCAGCATCATCATCTGTCCCCAATCACCGTTCATTATCATGCTCTTACGTATCACACAATCGCCGAACTCATCACCAACATCATCATCATCATCAGCAGCATCATCCCTAGTAGTTCAAACCAGAGTTCGGAACTTCGGCACTGCGGGTTTGCAACTGAACAGCTTCGCCAAAAGCCCCAACAGGACATTTTTTTACAATGATTTTCACTTCTTCCACAACCAGACCCCAGGCCAAGATTAGCCACAAACCCATAGCAATGCGAGTAGCAAGGGTCGTGATGATGTTGACTGCGTTGTTGGTGCCGTTTGCCATTTTGCTCTGCGTATATTTGTTGTTTTGGAGTATGCTGTGTTCAAGACGGTCATCAATTGTGGCCTGCTAGCGTTATGCTTACCTGTATGCTGCTTCGTGCTGTTGCTCCTGTTCCAGATGGCTCCTGGAGCTAACTACTACTGCGGCTCAGATGGGAATGCTATACTCAACTGAAATCAAGTGCCCAGCGTCCGCCGATTGTATGGCGGATGTCCCTAGAAGCCTCTGAGAGTTCGGCTTGGCTCTCAGCAGGTGCATCTCCCGAGCGCGGCGGAAAGGCGCTCAAGCATTCTAATCGAGTGAAAGAAGATCACAAAGGCTTAGAAATCTGGTCTTTTCGGGGTGGCATCAGCGTATAAGGTTTCCGCAATGGACATGTCGAGGTCCGGTCCAGAGTCTGGCTTCTATGTTGCAATGATGAGGGCTGTCTCAAAATTTCAAAACTCACGCTCGGAATAAACAGAAGCTGGTATGCATTATTATGCATTCAGCATTCTCCCTGTGATCCACCATGGCAAAAGAAGCTGCAACATCGGGGGAATGTCGGAATAGCACAATCGGAACATGGGCTTGCAAACTCGCGCAATCACGCTCATGCACTTGCTCTTTTAGTATCTCCTAGACCTTGGATCCCTCTTCCTATCCTAATGCAGGGATCCATGGGTGCAGAGGTCACGAGATTTCGCGCTTCCTCTGTGAAACCTGCGCGCGCCCTTGAGGCAACGGAGGGTTGCGGCTCGAGGCTTCCAAGGCTGCTCGGTGAAGAAGAACATCTTTGTGTTAGGCCTTTCCTTCAGAAGCCGTGGCCAGGATCCGGACTGTGTAATAAGTGATGCATGTCGGGAAATCGGAAACGCACTCAAATCACACTCTCTGCGTTCTACTGTGCTACTCCCCGTCCCCCATGAAACAGCACTGGGCCAGTCATGCCTCCTCACTGTGAAGCTCAGACAGCAAACATGTCAAGAGCACTGCACCACCTAGGAATGCTCCAGGGTGAAAAGCTTTGCTGGACATGACTGCATGTCTGGCGAAGAGCTCCATACTGTTCACGCGGCACCGGCGGTTGTGGCGCATACTCAAACACTACTGTAGTGTTCAAAGACCCTCGAATGTCCGAAACATCAAGACATGCATCATCTTGAGGATAAACAAGTTGGAGGATCTAGGCGGCGTGTTGCCTCCTAGCTGACCACCAAAGCTATAATTTCGCAATGTGAGAACGTGTCTCTGCCAGTGTTTGCAAGCAGCCACCAATTGCAACTACAGGAGCACATGTCAGCTGAGAAACCGTCTTTGCCATGCGAGGTTGCGACCGCATGGAGCTGTGTCCACATACCCAAACTAGTTCTCATGCCGCACAGGCATGCTGATGGGGCAGCGACGAAATGCTGCAAGCGATTCGCGTAATTGGAGTACTGTCCTCACACGCCTGTTCTCAAATCTAGGTGCCAACCGGGTGCAACGAACCTGCAACTTCGGCGCATCTAAGCAATCTAACCTTGATGTAGCGCATGTGAAAGCACCGGATCTTGGCTGCACGACAGGCCTCTTTGGGTAAGCTAGGCGATACGACGTGTCTGTTCTAATTTTGTGCCAAGAACGCAGCACTGTTTGGCTCTCAGAAGCTTCCAAAGGGCGTCCAGAGGTCAATCATCCAGCATACCTTGGATAAGTCACTGGGCATGAGCAAACATGACGAAAACAAGTTCTTTCTTCCCTTTTCTTCCCTGCAGGGACGACGACACAATTTGGGAGCAACACAAAGGGATAAGGACAAATGAAGATGCAATTCATAGTTGGTGCAAGTATACCTTGAGAACGCTGGGCTGCTAACTTGGGCCTCCATCGGATGCAAGGAGTCTTTAGCCAAAACGGCCTGTAAGATACCTCTGACACACCCTTTCCAAGTGTGCAGTCGTACGACGTCAAGCGTAGCGTGCTTCAGTATTCAAGCTGACTGGCTGTGGGCACATCTCGTCAAAGGGCGAACCGCATTCATTGTTGCTGTGGTTCATGCGTGAACGGTGCAGAAACTCAAAACCGGCAACATGAAAAGAGTTGTACTTTCATCGTCAACCCCCTCAATGCACGAGTTTCCAATGGGCAGTTTCCTAGCGACAGCGACCAGCTCCGAAGCTCCGCTGAGGTTGCGAGTGCCGCTGTCGGGTTGCGCAACACGCGTGGCCGTACCGGATGTGTGTAACCGCCGTATCCTGCACTGGCGCTGGTTGTCGAGGGCGTTGGTTTCAACGTTGAAGCCAAGATGCTGAACGTATTTTATGCTGCAGTGGAGAGGGTTCGCGCTTCGTCGCAGTTTCAAGACGCGAGTTTCATCCCATTGGTTTCATGCTGGATCTGCGGCCTGGAGACAGAGTCACTTTGCTGACAAGTGATGATGGGGGCTGAGACGTCGTCTGGTGGTCAGTAAACTGATGAACAGCATCGGCTTATCAAAAGATCTCGCTCGAAACATCGCAAAGCGAATAGAAATCTGTAGCAGGATGTACGCGTAAGAAGGTTGCCGTGGCAAGTTTCCGCTCAGCAACCACACCCTCGTATCGGGGATGCACCCTTTGTGAAATGCTCAACGTCGGTGCTGTCCGGGACTTGCGGAGCGACTGTTGCATACTTCGTCCACATCTCTTTGATTCTTTCGCCAGTACACGTCAGCAGAAAGACTTGCACTGCTCCGGCCTACTGTGGTGCGCATGGAGTGTTTTAGGAGGTGGCCGAAGATAGTAAACTGACGATGCGAGGCTTTCAGCATTTCCCAGTTCAGCATTATGAAGATCTCAGTGCTGCGCGACATACAAAGATGCAGCAAGCATCTGTTTTTGATGAGCGTCTCTTGTCCCCTGATCCACCAATAGCGAGTGTCGCGAATCCCGTAACTGGAGTTGAGGCACAAAGAAGCGCCACACCTCGGCGAACCCAGTGGCCCTGATCCTGTGAGCAGCTGCTAGAAGCTGCTAGCAGCTGCTAGCAGGTGTTAGCAGGTGTTAGCAGGTGTCAGCGGAGACTCTTAGACTGGTGGAGAACGAATCAGAGACTTCGACCTGAGAGCTGGCTCCAAAGCTCCTCCTCGTTACTTGGCAGCCGGAAATAGCAAACGAAGTTGGTGGAGTGACCTGTCAGGCTCGCGAACTTCGCCCTGTCATGTCTCTCGTCTCGCCTCTTTTCCCTGTGTCTCTACCCGGAATCCCACAGGAGCGGTCCCGAGTGCGAAAGGTCTGTGTCCCCTGCAGACACGCTGCGGGCCATGTCAAAATGAACGGTAGCGTTTGCTGGGCTGTACAGGGTCTTGAACCATCCGTGACTGTCAAGCAAGGGATCGAGAGATATGGAGTGCATGGAGTATATGCCTCTTACACGTCAACAGATTTTTCCATGCACAAAGCTGCAGTTTCTACCCTCTTCCCGTTTCCTCTTCTCTCTTCTCCGGGGTTGAGAGTTCTTCCGCTCCGTCGAGTGTGTCCAACATACACGAACCTACCCTACTTCCGGCGAAGGTGCGCCGCTAGGTTGGCGTGTGGGCTCCTTCAAACAATCGCCAGAAGTTTATGAGACGCTGGACTGATAGGCATTCCTGGACACGAAAAGAGTGTCAGGCTTTCGCTAACCTACCGGAGAAATAGCCCTAGAGGCCGTGCTGACCAGATACAACATATCCTCGTATACAGGCCTCACATGCTCATGCCAAGATGCGTGCAGGAACATAGGATAAATGCTATAGATTCTTTGGACAGTAACTACGAAATGCATGAGTTACCCATGCTACTCACCCAAGAACCCCCGCGACTCTTAAGCTGCGCCTACATGGCACGTCACAGCACAAGATAACAATCACTTCCAGACCACTGAAGCATCAGCTAGCGCATGAACAATGTTTGTATTGCACTCTCGCGCGCTGCCGCCCAGTCCCAGTTGACAAGGAGTTGAAGGATTTGTGGTCTTACTCGACAAGCACCTAGACATACAGCAGCTGAACAGCTTGTGCTCCTCCATGCTTTCTTTTCTGGTCTCCAAAGAGCAGGGAAGGTGATAGACATCAAGAACCTAAGGGGTTGCTGAGCGCTTTGGGCTTAGGGTTTTTGAGCGGCCGACCTGTCGTCGCCAGAGTTCCCTTGCGCAGTGAGGTCTTGTAGAGGGGACAGGTGTACCTGGCTGAGGGCATCTTCAGGAGTTGCAGTTTCAGCTTCGATATGGCCGTGCAAAGATGGGCGGCACTGCACACCCCTGCTTCCAGCTGCGAACTCACATGCTGGTGGAACGTGGGCGCTGTGATACAACTGGAATTAAGAGAATGCTTCTGCCGCATGCGGCGACGAGGCCTCAAGGAACGCGCTGGACAAAAGAGAACTTTCAAGCCTTTACATGCTCCGAGAACCTGCCTGCCAGGTTCTGCGGAAACCTTCTGGAAGGTTGCCTGCAGGAACGCGGAATTCAGTTTCAACCAGAAGCGCTCTCTGTCCCGAAAGAGCATAGTATAGCTGCTTTAGAAGCTCTCTCTTGCGAGAGGTCCTTACACAACGGCCTTTACCGGCCCCTGCCTCTCTGCACGTGCCGGGGCCCGGGCCTCCTCCACCACTTGCACCCAGATCACCGGGAGCTCCTTGAAGAGCACCGCCTACGGAGGCGCTTAGACGGAGTGCCTCAGCTGCGCCTCCAACCGCTTTTCCATCTTTCTGGCACTCACTCCACGCGCAACGCACAGCCCTTTATTGGCGCAACCGCTGACCGATCGGAGCGGAGCGGAGCGCAACAAGGGCGCTGCAAGCTCGCTCCGCGCTCCGCGTGTGTGCTTGTGCCGCCACCAATGGGCACCCGGGGGGCCTCTTTCGTGGAACTGAAAAGGCGCCAAATGCCGCCGCTTCGACGCCTCGCGGCCTTCGCTTTCTGCAAGGCTCGGCCCTCCCCGCTCCCCGCCGCGACGACGGTCGCTGCGTTGCTCTGAGAAGACAAAGTCAGCGTCGACAGAGTTCTCAGGAAAGCTTGGAAGCAGCTGAAGATGTTCTCAGTCATAAATCCTCCAATCCGCATAAAGCTTCCTGAGACGAGTGAGCAGCAGCGACAAACTCCAGGGCATCACGGGAAATGCTGCAGCGAGCAGCATCACCTCTGAAACATCATGCCAGTGCGCGCGAGGCTGCCTCAAGTCTACCGCAAAGAAATCCTCCGTTATCTGTTTCTTGCAGGGTGTTTAAAGCATGCGCGCCAAAGCGCTACCGCCTGGACGTGTCCCTCAAGATGACCAAGGGGCCGACATCCTGTTGCACTGCGAGCTATCTCGCGAGACTCAAAGTTAAGCAAGCTGGCATGACTCTCTTGCCACAATCGACCAAATCTTCGAACCCCAGCCGAACAAGCCTTGGGACTCTTCTCTCCACGAGCCCTCTCTTTCCGCTCCACATCAGGAACGCTTAACTTAGATGCTGCACCTTCTCAGACTCCACCATCTTCTTTGATGGAACGTCCCAGCCGGCTCCCTGGCAAGGATTTTTCAGATCTCCACCGAGCCTGGAGCCCAGTCAGCACGCAAAAGTCTTCGCCTAAAGAGCTCGAGAACTTTCAAACCTTTGCCCTTTGCTGACTTCGGAGAAGGTTCCAACAGTTTCCGAAACGGCTACACTGTACTGTAAGGAGTCCGGAGCTTCCGCCTGCAGGAAGAGTCCATGCACGTTCACCCCATCTGCCTCACGTCTCGTCAAAGCCCAGGCCGACACTGGGGCTTTCAGGGGTTCTGTGTGGAACGGCGGCATGCCTAAACCCTCGATACCCGGTTGCCTGACGCACCTTTCGAGACGGCCAGCGAATGTGACTTCGTAAGAATCTGAAGGCTTTCACACAACTCTCGTCGTCCTCGCGCGGGGGGGGGGGTGAGGGGGGGTGCCACAGCGGATCGAGAAGCCGTCGGAGCAACCGCAATTCGGTTGAGAGTCGGCAAAGGCTGCCCCGCTTGGGGCTCTGGGGCTCCGGGCCGGTGGATCGGCCAGGCGGGGCTCCGTGCAGTTCGTCATCTCCTGCCAGAAGACCAAGGCCTTAGGGGCTCAACAGCTCAGGCTCAGTTTCCAAAAGCGACACGTAACAGTGCCCGAGTTCGCTAGAGAATACGAGGCACTTAAAAGAAGCAGTGGCAGTTGCCTGAAAACCTAACCCGTCGCCACAGCACACGTCCCTCAGGTCGACGCATCGATCGGAATCTTCGTCTTTCGCGCGTGGACCTGCAAAAGGCACAGGCTCCGCCCGACGAGACACAGGCAGTCTCACAAGCTCAACACTGCGCGTCCGCACTGCATGCCTGCTTGGAGCAGGTCATGAAGCCCTGCGGGAAGTAGAAGCACGGAACCTCCAGCAAGATGGCTATGGCACCGTTGCTCTAAGCAAAGACTGCAGCTGGGACTGTCAGCGAGGCCAGGACCCAGTAGCTTGAGGGAGGTCCCATCTTCAGCCATCGTGCCATGAAGTCAATGCGCTCCTGGAGAGCTGACCCTTACCGAGTGCACTCTGTCACGTGGGCTGAGAATGTCTGCATGGCCGGCCTTACTGCAGTGTCGGACCCAGCAAATTCAGTGCACGGTGCGTCAAACCCCCACATGTGCCACACGTTTTCAAGCAACGACTGATGCCAGACTTTCCGCAGGGACTTTCGACGAGCCCTTGTGCCTCTAGTTGCTTTTTGTTGCATGTTCCAGCTGGGATAGGCGATTTTCTCATGTTCTTGACACGCACCAGAAAAATCAGTGTTCCTGGCAAAACGTGAGTTGTCCAACCTCAAGTTTTATGTATAAAGCCATTCCAATCGATTGCGATTCAGTGGCTGAAGACCATGTGATCTGCCACAAATGCAGGACGTACCAGTTTATCTGAACACCTTTGTGCAGCTGACCTCTGTCGTCGCCCAAAACTTACACTGATGATCAACAGAACGTAGCCAGCAACTCCTTTTGACTAAGTGCCGTGGAAGCAGCACCACAAATGTTGCAAAAGGCTTTCTGAAAATTCTGAGCATCGTGCTCGCAATATCGGAGTGGACCATGTCCGGATCATCGAAACTTTAGTGTGCTGCTTGGCTCCTTGCTGTTGCCTCGTGAAGTCGTTTCTTCCGACTGCCCATCAATCATTTTTATCACACAGAAATACGCCTCTTGAAAACACCACGTTGGACAGAAGCAAATGTAATAAGCAGCAGCCACATACCAGAGTGCGAGACATAAGTGTGAAGCGTCAGGATTAGCTTGGGTGTGCACGCTGGGGATGTACGTAGTAAGGATGCGCACATTGAGCCTCAAACACGAGTGTGCGTTACATGCTGCAGTGGAGAACTATTGGGTCTGACTTCTCTTTCCGCTGTACTGATAACCGGCATTGCCCGGTTGGCTGCGTGCAAGCTATCGTGCTGATATAAGGCGCTTCAGGATGTGTAGCTGACAAGCTTCCACGCACTACCGAAGAGATTTAATTTGTCAAGCGCATGACTACATCCGCAAAGGCATGTGCAAGGTTCAGATTGTCGTTTCGGTATTCCTAGGCTGTGATCTTGAAAGCGGAAGGACCCAAACGAACAGTCAAGTGAACCCTGGACGCTGTCCTCGAAGTCCGCGAACCAGGCGTTCAAAGGCTTCAGGCAGGGGTACGAAACCTGCTCCAGCACAGGAAGTTTCAAAGACACTGGGAGCAATTCACAGGCATTTCAGTTTAGTTTACGCAATAGTGGGTCTCTGTGCATAAGCCTGCAAGGGCCGAGATAGTGCTGCGCTTGCCCAGCCGCACCAGGGTGCGTGGACACTTTCATGCGGTCGAAACTACGCCGAACTACGCTCTGCGAGTTTCCTGCTCGTGCGAGGCATCACATCTCAAGCTCGGAACTTAGAACCCGAAGTACAGCAGTCCTATGCCACAAGCACACAAGCAAAAACTTGAAGCAGACACTACTTCACACTGCTTCAAAATGACACAATCTGACAACCGCACAAACACAGACCCGCATATAGCCTCTCCCCAAAGTGGTGGCAGTTGCTGGGACAAGAAGCAGTTGTACATGTCCTGGCCCATAGACTGCCACATGCGCATGGTGGAAACTGCCGATAGTGCGTCTGCCACCGCTGTCAGCACTTTGCTACGAGGCATCAAGTGCTCCTGCTGCTGCTGCTGCTGCTGCTAACCAATATTGATCCTCGTGCTCACTCCTTGTAAGCAAAGAAACAACAAAGTTAACAACTGCTACTGCTGCAGTTATCTCCATTCCATGCCCCAGCACAACCACCATGGTTCTCCTAGCGGTCCTAGCAGCCAGCAAACATGCTAGCGGGTGCTACCGTTGCTGTTGCGTTCGCTGGCACAATATGTCTGCCAGGATAAAGTTTGCAACACATGCCAGCAAAAATCATGGAACCCTTGGTCACCTAGGTCCATTGGTATAATATATAGCCGGCATTCAATATCCGGGTTCAATGCCTCGCTACGCTCCTGCTGTCGTTATTGCTCTCGAGTGGGGCCCTAACTGAAGCCCAAGATATCCCGTAAAGGGGGGGATGGGGAAGGATAATGAGCGCGGACACTCTATTCGGAGTGGTTCTAGAACTTCTGCTGCTCCCCATCTACTTTTGCAAGGACTACTGCCCCGATGTTGTTGCTGCTGCTGTTGCTACAGTCACAGCCGCAGCCACAACCACAACCACAACAACAATAAGGTACAACAACAACAAGAAGAACAAGAACCACAACAATAACAATAACAGTAACAACAACTACAACTACCACTACCACTGCTTGCCCGGGTATCGGTCTGTCATCCAGATTTGGTTCGTGCTTGTGGCAAGAACCAAAACATCTCAGAGCTTTGCCAAGATCTGCTCAACGCCGTGAGTGATGTCGTCAGCTTGCTCGCACTAATTTGTAACTTGCGCATTTTGCAACTTGAAAAACTCAGAAACATCTGGGCAAAAGCTCACCGGGAGCTGTGGCGATATGAATAGGACCAGGAATTTAACAGGACAAAAGCTGCAAATGGGGATGGACCCCAGTCTGGACTGGGGCGTGGCTCAGGCGATGCCGTTCCAAATCAGCGAAGCGTTGATCGACAGAGCTGGTTCGAGTTTGCTGCTTGCGTGATGTCCCTGTTGCTCCTAGACGGGCCATTGTCCTTTCCTTTGAGTGACAAAGTTCACTGCAACGGCAGTTTCACCAAGTGCATCAGGTTTGGATTGGGGCAAGAAGTTCCTCAACGGACAAGACATCATGCCTAGCAGTCATCTCTGCTTCCGTCTTCCACACAGCATGCTGATGCTCAATTTTCAAGACTCCTTCAGATCTCACCTAGTGCTAGTACTAGTACTAGAACTACGTAGTACTAGCACTACCACTATCACTACCGCGACCACCACGACAACGACGACCAGTACCAGTGCCAGCCAGGACGACGACTACTACTGCGACGAGTACTACGAGTACTACTACTTCTACTTCTACGACGACTGGTACAAGGACACGCGAGCGTGTCGGGCCGTGCGTTATTGTGGGCGTCGAGCAGAACGGAATCAGCAAATTAGAGCACCCTACGGTGTTTTAGGCTCCTGTGACGACTGAAATGGGCAAAAACTCGTGCGTTCACCTACAGAAAGTGCCGAACGTATTGCATTATTTACTCGGGGTCTGAAACAACACAAAGCAGTTTTCGATGCTTGTGGGCTCGGAAGTACGAATAGCAAGATATATGGGCTTTATTAGGGCTTGGGCATGGATGCGCTGGTGATCGCACGCAATGTAGGCCGGGACGCCAGTTGGGCTTGCATGCGCTGGTGATCCCATGCCAGTAGGAATGCACGTGATTAGGGTTTGGGCATGGATGTGCTGGTGATCTCATGCCAGTAGGCCTGTGATACGCAAGGCAAGAGTGCGGCGTACGTGCCTGATACACACGCGTGTGGTACTACGACTACTGCTGCTACTACAACTACAACAACAGCTGCTACTACTACTACTACCACCACCACCACCACCACTACCACTACCTCTACCACTACCACTACGACTACGACTACTACTACTACTACTACTACTACTACTACTACTGCTACTGCTACTGCTACCACTACCACTACCACTACCACTACCACTACCACTACCACTGAAACTACTACTACTACCACTACTACTACTACTACTACTACTACTACTACTGCTACTGCTACTACTACTACTACTACTACTACTACTACTACTCCTACTCCGACTCCGACTCCTACTACTACCAC